ATGCATTTGTATCAGTATAGCTATTTGTAGAATAAACTCTAATTTCGAAAATTATAGGCTGTTTAAAAATTTTGTAACAATACATTATACATCTATATATCTTTTTTATCCCCTGTACAAACACTACCATTTTTTTTCTCAATAGTTACTTTAATTTAGAAACTATTTTCTCTCTTACAAAATTTCAATTGAGTGAACGGTTTAGCCACAAAAAAAAGGTACTTGTGGTCTTGCATTCTATACGTCATTTCCGGACACCTGTATAACGTACTGTTCAGTGGGAAATTGAAATGACGTCATTTTGAAAAATTGTATTAATAAAAATTGTTTAGAATTAAACTCTAAACTAATATTATTTATAAAAAATTTTGATACAATCAATAATTAGTGAGATAACCTCAAAAATATCCATTTATATTAAAGTAGAGCGCCACCTGGTGGAGATATCAAAATGTTGTATTAAAATAATTAATTCCAAATTGCATTCTAAACAAATATTGTACGAAACATTTTTCGATAAAAGTAATAATTTGCTTAGAAATGGAATTAAAGTAAAACAATGAACCATACTGTTCAGAGGGAAATTAAAATTACGTCATTTTGAAAAAAGTTATTAATAAAAGTTGTTTGTAATTTAATTCTATATACATATTGTTTATAAAAAATTTTGATTCAATCGATAATAATTGAGATAACCTAAAAAATTTCGATTTATAATAATGTAGAGCGCCACCTGGTGGAGATATCAAAATTTTTTATTAAAATAATTAATTCCAAATTGCATTCTAAACAAATATTGTACGAAACATTTTTCGATAAAAGCAATAATTTGCTTAGAAAATGAATTAACGTAAAATAAAATGAACCGTACTGTTCAGAGGGAAATTAAAATTGAGTTATTTTAAAAAATGTNTAATTATTGAAATAACCTCAAAAAAGTCAATTTGTGTTAGTGTAGAGCGCCACCTGGTGGAAATATCAAAATTTTTTATTAAAATAATTATTCTCAAATTGCATTTTAAACAAATATTGTACGAAACATTTTTCGATATAAGTAATATTTTGCTTAGAAATGGAATTAAGGTAAAATAGTGTACAGGTGTCCGGAAATGACGTGTACAACGCAAGACCACAAGTACTTTGACCAAAATTATGACGATTTAACTCAACTTATCTATATACAAAATTACTTAGTTTATCCGCTAGATATGGCTTTAAAAATAATGTTTTTTAATTTTTTTTTAAATAAGTCGTAAACATTTGTATCAGTTTCGAAAATTATAGGTTGTTTAAAAACTTTGTAACAATACATTATGCATCGATATCTTTTTAACCCCCTGTACAAACACTACCATTTTTTTTCTGAATAGTTACTTTAATTTAGAAACTATTTTCTCTCTTACAAAATTTCAGTTGGGTGAACGGTTTAGCCACAAAAAAAAAGTACTTAGGGTCTTCCATTCTATACGTCATTTCCGAACAGCCTGTATAACGTACTGTTCACAGGGAAATTACAGTATTGAGATATTTTGAAAAATTTTATTAATAAAAATTGTTTAGAATTAAACTCTAAACTAATATTATTTATAAAAAATTTTGGTACAATCAATAATTATTGAGATAACCTCAAAAATATCGATTTATATTAATGTAGAGCACCACCTGGTGAAGATATCAAAATTTTTTATTAAAATAATTAATCTCAAATTGCATTTTAAACAAATATTGTACGAAACATTTTTCGATAAAAGCAATAATTTGCTTAGAAATAGAGTTAACATAAAACACGATGAACCATACTGTTCAGAGGGAATTTAAAATTACGTCATTTTGAAAAATGTTATTAATAAAAGTTATTTGTAATTTAATTCTATATAAATATTGTTTATAACAAATTTTGATTCAATCGATAGTTATTGAGATAACCTCAAAAATATCGATTCATATTAATATAGAGCGCCACCTGGTGGAGATATCAAAATTTTTTATTAAAATAATAAATTCCAAATTGCATTATAAACAAATATTGTACGAAACATTTTTCGATAAAAACAATAATTTGCTTAGAAAATGAATTAACGCAAAATAAAATGAACCGTACTGTTCACAGGGAAATTAAAATTGAGCTATTTTGAAAAATGTTATTAATAAAAAATGTTTGGAATTTAATTCTAAACTAATAATGGTTATTAAAAATTTTTAAATAATGGATAATTATTGAGATAACCTCAAAAATATCGATTTATATCAATGTAGAGCGCCACCTGGTGGAGATATCAAAATTTTTTATTAAAATAATTAATCTCAAATTGCATTTTAAACAAATATTGTACGAAACATTTTTCGATAAAAGCAATAATTTGCTTAGAAATAGAGTTAACATAAAACACGATGAACCATACTGTTCAGAGGGAATTTAAAATTACGTCATTTTGAAAAATGTTATTAATAAAAGTTATTTGTAATTTAATTCTATATAAATATTGTTTATAACAAATTTTGATTCAATCGATAGTTATTGAGATAACCTCAAAAATATCGATTCATATTAATATAGAGCGCCACCTGGTGGAGATATCAAAATTTTTTATTAAAATAATAAATTCCAAATTGCATTATAAACAAATATTGTACGAAACATTTTTCGATAAAAACAATAATTTGCTTAGAAAATGAATTAACGCAAAATAAAATGAACCGTACTGTTCACAGGGAAATTAAAATTGAGCTATTTTGAAAAATGTTATTAATAAAAAATGTTTGGAATTTAATTCTAAACTAATAATGGTTATTAAAAATTTTTAAATAATGGATAATTATTGAGATAACCTCAAAAATATCGATTTATATCAATGTAGAGCGCCACCTGGTGGAGATATCAAAATTTTTTATTAAAATAATTAATCTCAAATTACATTCTAAACAAATATTGTACGAAACATTTTTCGATAAAAGCAATAATTTGCTTAGAAAATGAATTAACGTAAAATAAAATGAACCGTACTGTTCAGAGGGAAATTAAAATTGAGTTATTTAAAAAAATGTTATTAATAAAAAATGTTTGGAATTTAATTCTAAAGTAAAAATGCTTATTAAAAATTTTTAAATAATGGATAATTATTAAGATAACCTCAAAAATATCAATTTATATTAATGTAGAACGCCACCTGGTGGAGATATCAAAATTTTTTATTAAAATAATTAATTCCAAATTGTATTTTAAATAGATATTGTACGAAACATATTTTGATAACAGCAATAAATTTGTTTAGAAATGGAATTAACGTAAAATAAAATGCATCGTACTATTCAGAGGGAAATTAAAATTACGTAATTTTGAAAAATTTTATTAATAAAAGTTGTTTATAATTTGATTTTAAACGAATTTTGTTTATAAAAAATTTTGATTCGATCTCTAATTATCGAAATAACCTCAAATATGTTAATTTGTGATAGTGTAGCGCGCCACCTGGCGGATTAATCGAAAATTTTTATTAGAATAATCGATTCTAAATCGCATTTTGAACAATTATTATTCGAAACATTTTTCGATAAAAACAATAATAAGTTTGAAATGTCTTAAATTGCATTTGACATTAAAGATACTGTACTATTCAGAGGGAAATTAAAATTGCGTTATTTTGAAAAATGTTATTAATAAAAGTAATCGCAAATTGCATTTTAAACAAATATTGTACGAAACATTTTTCGATACAAACAATAATTTGCCTAGAAAATGTATTAACGTAAAATAAAATGAACCATACTGTTCAGAGGGAAATTAAAATTGAGTTATTTTAGAAAATTTTATTAACAAAAGTTGTTTGTAATTGAATTCTATATAAATATTGCTTATAAAAAATTTGGATTCGATCACTAATTATTGAAATAACCTCAAAAATGTCAATTTGTATTAGTGTAGAGCGCCTGGTGGAGATATCAAAATTTTTTATTAGAATAATTAATCCCAAATTCCATTTTAAACAAATATTGTACGAAACACTTTTCGATACAAGTAATATTTTGCTTAGACCATAAATGATATACAGGGTGGCCAAATAAGCGTACAAAATAGTGTATCTCGAAAACTACTCATTGCAGAGACACGCGGTAAAAAATTTAATGACTAAAGTGGATAAAAGAAAATCGTCGAAATTATTATCAGGTTTCTAAGATGACCACTAGGGGGCGCAACCGCCCCCTAGTGGTTTTTCGAATAATATTGGCTTAAAGTAGTGTTTAAAATCAATTTTATTACAAATAATTTCGATATCTTCACCGGGTGTCGCTGTATATTCGTATAAAAAGCAATATTTTTGAGGTTATGTCACTAATTTGTGTTTTTATCAAAAAATCTTTTAAACCAAATTGTTTTAGAATCAAATCTGTAATGAATTCTGATGTAATCATAAGATGAAAAATCGCTTACCATCTTAGGTTATGTTTTTTTTACTTTGTATTTACAATGAAGTATGGACAACCGACGAATGTTGTTTTTAATATTAATGGGTGATTAATATACAATGTCTAGCATACAAAAATGGACATCGAATCAAAAAAATGCCATAATAGGTAGAATTAATTGATTTAACATTCCATAAATAAGTATGAACAGGTCAAAATAAACAAAGAAAATCTAAAACGACCTTCTTCCCGATTAGATAGCGATTTATTTACAAAAATTAATGTTTCAAAAAAAAAATTATCTTTAATTTCCAAAAATCACCTAAACCCAATTCACGGTAATAATCTTTCAATTCGAGTGCAATCAAATACGACAATGTAAATATTTTTATGTACTTCATGTACTCATTATCGAAACATAATTTTTTATTAAACGATTTCGAGTCGTTCAGAATCGTTTAAAGTCGTCTCTTTAAAGTTTTAAAGCGCAAACTCGAACGATACCAAAACTTATAACGCACTAAAACTTGCATCGAGTGGAAAAGAGATAGAAAAAGAAAAACACGCACACATCAACACACGAGACGGGTAAAGAAGGAGCGCGTTTTGTTTATGGATTCAGTGCGTAACAATGGCCTTTGAGTGTCGTTTGAGGCTCATTACGATGCTCAATAAATGCGCACGAGTCAAACACTAAAATTTAAAACACAAATTTCGTAGTGAAAATACAAATTTTTGTCTTTGTTTATTACTTTAATTATCGTGATATTTTGGAGCTTAAAAAAAAAATAAAAATAAAATGATTTCGGTGAGTTTGTTTAAAATCTATTTTTAGTTGTGTTTATGTGATTTAACAGCTATTTGAACATAAAATTTAATAAAACGTTCTTGAAATTCCTGCTGGAAACCGGATTTCAATAAATCGATTAAAAAATGAACGTTTTAATTAAATTAATTTTCTTTTAATCTTTCTTAATCAGAACCGAACGTTTTATCTCCTTATCTTCTTAATAACAAAGATTATAAGCGGGCCGAATTAATTCGTAACGGCTCCAAAACTCTCGAAAAAGTTATTTTAAGACGCGTCGAAATGAGGGAATTAAAAGATTTCCACTTAAAATGTTTCAAAATAGGATTAAATTAAAATGATTTTCGAAATTAATTTTGATTGCGAAAATAAGAAGGAGAATTGAAAATCGTTTAAAATAAATCCAAACTCGACGTGTTTATCTCAAATAGTTTCCGAGATACGCTAATTTTAACATAAAAACAATCGATTTCTCGTTCTAACATCTCCATCTCTCTCTAAAAATTAATTTTTATCGGAAATGCGGCGTGTTTGGTATCAAATTAGCGGGAATTTTATAAAGATTACGAATTTAAGGTGATCGATTAACACTTTATAATTTTAAAAATTTTTTAATTGATAAAAATTTCTCAAAATTATTTTTAATTAAGATGATTGTAAAGAGAATTAAAAATCCTTTAAAATGAATCCAAACTCGACGTAATTCGGTTAAAAACTTCCCGAGATATCCCAAATTAATCAAAAAAAACAATTGAATTTCTTTGAATATCTCCATCTCTCTTTAATGATTAATTTTTATCGCAAATAGGTCGTGTTTGGTATCAAATTAACGGGAATTTTATGAAGATTACGAATTTAAGATGATCAATTTAAAAAAAAAATGTTAATTGTCAAAAATTTTTCAAAATTATTTTTAATTAAGATAATCGTAAAGAGAATTAAAAATCCTTTAAAATGAATCCAAATTCGACGTAATTCGGTTAAAAACTTCCCGAGATATCCCAAATTAATCAAAAAAAACAATTGAATTTTTTTAAATATCTCCATCTCTCTTTAATTATTAATTTTTATCGCAAATACGTCGTGTTTGGTATCAAATTAACGGGAATTTTATGTAGATTACGAATTTAAAATTATCGATTTTATAAAAAAATTTTAATTGTCAAAAATTTTTCAAAATTATTTTTTATTAGGATAATCGTAAAGAAAATTAAAAATCGTTTAAAATGAATCCAAACTCGACGTAATTCGGATAAAAACTTCCCGAGATATCCCAAATTAACTTAAAAAAACAATTGAATTTCTTTGAATATCTCCATCTCTCTCTAATTATTAATTTTTATCGCAAATAGGTCGTGTTGGGAATCAAATTAACGGGAATTTTATGTAGATTACGAATTTAAGATGATCGATTTTATAAAAAAATGTTAATTGTCAAAAATTTTTCAAAATTATTTTTTATTAGGATAATCGTAAAGAAAATTAAAAATCGTTTAAAATGAATCCAAACTCGACGTATTTCGGTTAAAAACTTCCCGAGATATCCCAAATTAATCAAAAAAAAACAATTGAATTTTTTTAAATATCTCCATCTCTCTTTAATTATTAATTTTTATCGCAAATACGTCGTGTTTGGTATCAAATTAACGGCAATTTTATACAGATTACGAATTTAAGATGATCGATTTCATAATTTTATAATTTAAAAAATTTTTTAATTGACAAAAATTTCTCAAAATTATTTTTAATTCGAGCGTTTCTTTAAAATAGTCGATTAATGTTTTGATTTAAACATTATTTTGTTAATGTTCATTAAATACCCTTTAATTTGATATGTCACACGACTACGTTATGATGATTTATAGAAAAATTCAAGATGGCGTCTGACAATTATGACAACAAATTAATCGTTTTCGTTGATTTTGAAATAAAGAAGTCGAGTATAGACTTAAATTGAAGATATATTCTTCGAGAATAAGAAAATATTAAATTTTTAATAAATTGTAGGTGGCGTTTCTTTAAAATAGTCGATTAATGTTTCGATTTAAACATTTTTAAACAATATTTTGTTAATGTTCATTAAAAACCCTTTAATTTGATATGTCACACGACTAGGTTATGACGATTTTTAAAAAAATTCAAGATGGCGTCTGACAATTATGACATCAAATTAATCGTTTTCGTTGATTTTGAAATAAATATGTCGAGTATAGATTTAAATTAAAGATATATTCCTCGAGAATAAGAAAATGTTCAGTTTTTAATAAATTATAGATGGCGCTTCTTTAAAATAGTCGCTTACTGCTTTAATTTAAACATTTTGAAACATTATTTTGTTAATGTTTATTAAAAACCCTTTAATTTGATATGTCACACGACTATGTTATGACAATTTTTAGAAAAATTCAAGANAAAAAACAATCGAATTTTTTAAAATATCTCCATCTCTCTTTAATTATTAATTTTTATCGCAAATAGGTCGTGTTTGGTATCAAATTAACGGGAATTTTATGAAGATTACGAATTTAAGATGATCGATTTTATAAAAAAATTTTAATTGTCAAAAATATTTTTAATTAAGATAATCGTTAAGAAAATTAAAAATCGTTTAAAATGAATCCAAACTCGACGTAATGCGGTTAAAAACTTCCCGAGATATCTCAAATTAATCAAAAAAAACAATTGAATTTTTTTAAATATCTCCATCTCTCTCTAATTATTAATTTTTATCGCAAATAGGTCGTGTTTGGTATCAAATTAACGGGAATTTTATGAAGATTACGAATTTAAGATGATCGATTTTATAAAAAAATTTTAATTGTCAAGAATTTCCCAAAATTATTTTTAATTAAGATGATCACAAAGAGAATTAAAAATCATTCAAAATGAATCCAAACTCGACTTAATTCGGTTAAAAACTTCCCGAGATATCCCAAATTAATCAAAAAAAACAATTGAATTTCTTTGAATATCTCCATCTCTCTTTAATTATTAATTTTTATCGCAAATACGTCGTGTTTGGTATCAAATTAACGGGAATTTTATGCAGATTACGAATTTAAGATGATCGATTTTATAAAAAAAAATTTAATTATAAAAATTTCTCAAAATTATTTTTAATTAAGATGATCACAAAGAGAATCAAAAATCATTCAAAATGAATCCAAACTCGATGTAATTCGGTTAAAAACTTCCCCAGATATCTCAAATTAATCAAAAAAAACAATTGAATTTTTTAAAATATCTCCATCTCTCTTTAATTATTAATTTTTATCGCAAATAGGTCGTGTTTGGTATCAAATTAATGGGAATTTTATGTAGATTACGAATTTAAGATGATCGTTTTTATAAAAAAAAATTGAATTGTCAAAAATTTCTCAAAATTATTTTTAATTAAGATAATCGTAAAGAGAATCAAAAATCATTTAAAATGAATCCAAACTCGACGTAATTCGGTTAAAAACTTCCCGAGATATCCCAAATTAACCTAAAAAACAATTGAATTTTTTAAAATATCTCCATCTCTCTTTAATTATTAATTTTTATCGCAAATAGGTCGTGTTTGGTATCAAATTAACGGGAATTTTACGCAGATTACGAATTTAAGATGATCGATTCATAATTTTATAATTGAATATCTCTCTCTAAAATTTAATTTTTATCCAAAATACGTCGTGTTTGGTATCAAATTAACGCAAATTTGATAAGGATTACGAATTTTGAAATATTTTTTTTCTTTTTTGCAGGTTGAAGTGTTATCGTCAATTTTTCTGTTAATTATTACGTTAATCTTAATAATTTATCTCAGAATGAAGTTAAAATTTAAGTATTGGGAGAAAAAGGGGGTTCCCCAACTAGAAAATTTACCTTTGCCGTTCGGAAACGCGCCGAATCCGTTTCGAATCCGCGAACCTTTCTACATGAAAGTTAAAGATTATTACTTTAGTTTTAAGAATAAAAACGAAAAGCACGGCGGGTTATATATGATGTCACGGCCCGTTTATTTAGCGGTGGATCCTGAAATCGTTAAAAACGTAATGTTACGCGATTTTGGCCATTTCCACGATCGCGGAACTTTTTATAACGAAAAAGTGGACCCGCTCAGCGGGCATTTATTTAATTTGGAAGGCAAACAGTGGAGGGAGCTACGCGCGAAATTAACCGGAACTTTCACCAGTGGCAAAATGAAGATGATGTTCCCCACTTTGTTGAAATGCGGCTACCAAATGATCGAAGAATTAGAGAAAATGTTGGAGCATCCCGTCGATATCAAAGAGATTTTAAGCTGCTTCTCAACCGACGTAATCGGCTCCGTTGCTTTCGGGCTAGAATGCAATAGCTTTAAAGTGCCGGAAGCGGAATTTCGAAAAAACGGGAAGAAAATTTTCGAGCCAAGCTTAAAAAGGAAAGTTCGCGTCTTTTTAATAACTTCCTTTCCTAATTTATGCAAAAAATTAGGGTTAGTTTTTATCCCAAAAGAAGTAACAAATTTCTTTTTGCAAGTCGTCAAAACGATGATCGATCACCGCGCGGCCAACAACATCAAAAGAAACGATTTCATGCAGATTTTAATCGACCTCAACAACTTAACTGTCAATCAAATCGCAGCTCAAGCTTTCGTGTTTTTTATCGCGGGCTTTGAGACTTCCGCCACGACGATTAATTTTTGTTTGTTCGAGTTGGCCCAAAATCAAGAAATACAAGAGAAAGTCCGCAAAGAAATCAACAAAGTTTTTAACGAAGAATTAAAATACGAATTAATCGGGGATCTAAAATATTTAAACCAAGTCGTGGAAGAAACTTTAAGGAAATATCCCCCGGTTCCGCATCTTTCCAGGAAATGTACCAACGAATACGAAGTCCCCGAGATGAATGTTCGCTTGGAAAAAAATTCCAAAGTTTTTATCTCGGTTTTGGGAATTCATAAAGATCCCGATTTTTATCCAAACCCGGAAGTTTTCGATCCGGAACGATTTAACGACGAAAATAAAGCGAAGAGACACCCCTTTACCTTCATTCCGTTCGGGGAAGGACCAAGAAATTGCATCGGTAAGAATTAATTAATTAATTAATTAATAAAGTGATATAATTATTTGATTTTAGGTTCCCGATTTGGAATGATGCAAACCAAAGTCGGATTAATCCTAATTTTGAAAAACTTCAAAGTTAGTTTGAGCTCAAAAACTGAGCTACCTCTCGAAATGGAGCCGAGTGCGCTACTGATGACCTCAAAGAATAAAATTTGGTTGGATATTGAGAAGATTAAAACTTAAATTTGTGACTAACTTAATTAATTAAGATTAATTAATTGTTGTTAATTAATTAAAATTATTGCTTTTATATATTTTTGTACTGACACAAAAAAATTTTAATTCAATAATCACGTTTTTATCTAGTCGATTAATAAATGATTTTTAACTTATGCCTTTATTTGATTAATCGTATCTCAAAAACTAATTGAGATATCGCGATGAAATGAGATGCATCTTAAAGATAATTTAATTAATATTAAATAAATCGAAGCTCATTTCTTTGATTTTAAAAATGTTGGAGTTACGATTTTTTGAATTCAACCCAAATCATGCAAATTTGGAACACACTCATCTTTAAAGAATTGTATCTCAAAAACGAATTGAGATATTCAAGTACGGTTTTGTTCGTCAAAAAGTACATACTTTCTTCTATAAGGTTGGAATGTTTTATAAAGATATCTTAAGAATCCGATTTTTTACGATTTTTTTTAAAATATTAAAAAAAAAATTTTTTTTAGATAATTGAGGTCGTGTTCAAGAATTAATATCTCAAAAACGGATTGAGATATTCAAGTACGGTTTTGTTCTGGTTAAACTACGTACTTTCTTCTATAAGGTGGGAATGTTTCACGAAGATATCTTAAGAATTAGATTTTTCACGATTTTTTTAAAATATAAAAAAAAAAATTTTTTTTAGATAATTGAGGTTGAGTTCGAGAATTAATATCTCAAGAACGAATTGAGATATTCAAGTACGATTTTGTTCATAATAATTTACGTACTTTCTTCTATAAGGTGGGAATGTTTCATGAATATATCTTAACAATCCGATTTTTTACGATTTCTTTAAATATTAAAAAAAAATTTGTTTCTAGATAACTGACGTTGAGTTCAAGAATTAATATCTCAAGAACGAATTGAGATATTCAAATACGATTTTGTTCTTAATAATGTACGTACTTTCTTGTATAAGGTGGGAATGTTTCACGAATACATCTTAAGAATTCGATTTTTTACGATTTTTTAAAAATAATATGTAAATTTTCTGTACCACATAATTGAGGTTGAATTCAAACATTATTATCTCAAGAACGAATTGAGATATTCAAGTACGGTTTTGTTCTGGTTAAACTACGTACTTTCTCCTATAAGGTGGAAATGTTTCATGAAGATATCTTAAGAATTGGATTTTTCACGATTTTTTTAAAATATTTAAAAAAAATATTGTTCTAGATAATTGAGGTTGAGTTCAAGAATTAATATCTCAAAAACAGATTGAGATATTCAAGTACGGTTTTGTTCAGGTTAAACTACGTACTTTCTTCTATAAGGTGGGAATCTTTCACGAAGATATCTTAAGAATTAGATTTTTCACGATTTTTTTAAAATATAAAAAAAAATTTTTTTCTCGGTAATTGAGGTTGAGTTCAAGAATTAATATCTCAAGAACGAATTGAGATATTCAAGTACGGTTTTATTCATGATAAAGTACGTACTTTCTTCTATAATGTTGGAATGTTTCATGAAGATATCTTAAGAATTCGATTTTTCACCATTTTTTAAAAATAATATTAAAGTTCTCTGTACCACATAATTGAGGTTAAATTCAAACATTATTATCTCAACAACGAATTGAGATATTCAAGTACGGTTTTGTTCTTGATAAAGTACGTACTTTCTTCTATAAGGTTGGAATGTTTCATGAAGATATCTTAAGAATCCGATTTTTTACGATTTTTTTAAAATATAAAAGAAAAATTTTTTCCTAGATAATTGAGGTTGAGTTCAAGAATTAATATCTCAAGAACGAATTGAGATATTCAAGTACGGTTTAGTTCTTGATAAAGTACGTACTTTCTTCTATAAGGTTGGAATGTTTCATGAAGATATCTTAAGAATCCAATGTTTCACGATTTTTTTAAAATATTAAAAAAAAAATTTTTTGTAGATAATTGAGGTTGAATTCAAGATTTAATATTTCAAGAACGAATTGAGATATTCAAGTACGGCTTTGTTCCTGATAAAGCACGTACTTTCTTCTATAAGGTCGGAATGTTTCATGAAGATATCTTAAGAATTCGATTTTTCACGATTTTTTTAAATATTAAAAAAAAATTTTGTTGTAGATAATTGAGGTTAAAGTTCAAGAATTAATATCTCAAGAACGAATTGAGATATTCAAGTACGGCTTTGTTCATAATAAAGTACGTACTTTCTTCTATAAGGTTGGAATGTTTCATGAAAATATCTTAAGAATCCGATTTTTCACGATTTTTTTAAAATATTAAAAAAAATTTTTTTGTAGATAATTGAGGTTGAGTTCAAGAATTAATATCTCAAGAACAAGTTGAGATATTCAAGTACAGTTTTGTTCATGATAAAGTACGTACTTTCTTCTATAAAGTAGGTATGTTTTATGAAGATATCTTAAGAATCCGATTTTTTACGATTTTTTTAAATATTAAAAAAAAATTATTTTTTTCTAGATAATTGAGGTTGAGTTCAAGAATTAATATCTCAAGAACGAATTGAGATATTCAAGTACGGTTTTGTTCATGATAAAGGACGTACTTTCTTCTATAAGGTTGGAATGTTTCATGAAGATATCTTAAGAATTCGACTTTTCACAATTTTTTAAAAATAATATTAAAATTTTTTGTACCACATAATTGAGGTTAAATTCAAACATTATTATCTCAAGAACGAATTGAGATATTCAAGTACGGTTTTGTTCATGATAAAGTACGTACTTTCTTCTATAAGGTTGGAATGTTTCATGAAGATATCTTAAGAATTCGATTTTTTACGATTTTTTTAAAATATTAAAAAAAAAACTTTTTTGTAGATAATGGAGATTGAGTTCAAGAATTAATATCTCAAGAACGAATTGAGATATTCAAGTACGGCTTTGTTCATGATAAAGTACGTACTTTCTTCTATAAGATGGGAATGTTTCATGAAGATATCTTAAGAATTCGATTTTTCACGATTTTTTAAAAATAGTATTAAAATTCTCTGTACCACATAATTGAGGTAAAATTCAAACATTATTATCTCAAGAACGAATTGAGATATTCATGTACGGGTTTGTTCTTAATAAAGTACGTACTTTCTTCTATAAGGTGGGAATGTTTCATGAAGATATCTTAAGCCGTGTGTCCACTACCAAGTTTTCTTGCGGAAGTTGCTTCCAAGAGTGAGTTCCAGAAGTTTTTGTCCTGTAAACACGACAAAAACATACGTGTTTACACGACAAAAACTTCTGGAAGCAACTTCCGCAAGAAAACTTGGTAGTGGACACACGGCTTTAAGAATTCGATTTTTTTAAAATATAAAAAAAAAATTTTTTTCTAGATAATTGAGGATGAGTTCACGAATTAATATCTCAAAAACGGATTGAGATATTCAAGTACGGTTTTGTTCTAGTTAAACTACGTACTTTCTTCTATAAGGTGGGAATGTTTCATGAAGATATCTTAAGAATTGGATTTTTCACGATTTTTTTAAAATATTAAAAAAAAAATTTTTCTAGATAATTGAGGTTGAGTTCAAGAATTAATATCTCAAGAACGAATTGAGATATTCAAGTACGGTTTTGTTCATGATAAAGGACGTACTTTCTTCTATAAGGTTGGAATGTTTCACGAATATATCTTAAGAATTCGATTTTTTACGATTTTTTAAAAATAATATGTAAATTTTCTGTACCACATAATTGAGGTTGAATTCAAACATTATTATCTCAAGAACGAATTGAGATATTCAAGTACGGTTTTGTTCTGGATAAAGTACGTACTTTCTTCTATAAGGTTGGAATGTTTCATGAAGATATCTTAAGAATCCGATTTTCTACGATTTTTTTAATTAAAAAAAAATTTTTTTTCTAGATAATTGAGGTTGAGTTCAAGAATTATTATCTCAAGAACGAATTGAGATATTCAAGTACGGTTTTGTTCATAATAAAGTACGTACCTTCTTCTATAAGGTCGGAATGTTTCATGAAGATATCTTAAGAATTCGACTTTTCACGATTTTTTAAAAATAATATTAAAATTCTCTGTACCACATAATTGAGGTTAAATTCAAACATTATTATCTCAAGAACGAATTGAGATATTCAAGTACGGTTTTGTTCATAATAAAGTACGTACCTTCTTCTATAAGGTCGGAATGTTTCATGAAGATATCTTAAGAATTCGACTTTTCACGATTTTTTAAAAATAATATTAAAATTCTCTGTACCACATAATTGAGGTTAAATTCAAACATTATTATCTCAAGAACGAATTGAGATATTCAAGTACGGTTTTGTTCATAATAAAGTACGTACCTTCTTCTATAAGGTCGGAATGTTTCATGAAGATATCTTAAGAATTCGACTTTTCACGATTTTTTAAAAATAATATTAAAATTCTCTGTACCACATAATTGAGGTTAAATTCAAACATTATTATCTCAAGAACGAATTGAGATATTCAAGTACGGTTTTGTTCATAATAAAGTACGTACCTTCTTCTATAAGGTCGGAATGTTTCATGAAGATATCTTAAGAATTCGACTTTTCACGATTTTTTAAAAATAATATTAAAATTCTCTGTACCACATAATTGAGGTTAAATTCAAACATTATTATCTCAAGAACGAATTGAGATATTCAAGTACGGTTTTGTTCATAATAAAGTACGTACCTTCTTCTATAAGGTCGGAATGTTTCATGAAGATATCTTAAGAATTCGACTTTTCACGATTTTTTAAAAATAATATTAAAATTCTCTGTACCACATAATTGAGGTTAAATTCAAACATTATTATCTCAAGAACGAATTGAGATATTCAAGTACGGTTTTGTTCCTGATAAAGCACGTACTTTCTTCTATAAGGTTGGAATATTTCATGAAGATATCTTAAGAATTGGATTTTTCACGATTTTTCTTAAATATTAAAAAAAAAATTTTTTCTAGATGATTGAGGTTAAGTTCAAGAATTAATATCTCAAGAACGAATTGAGATATCCCAGTACGGTTTTATTCCCTAAAAACTACGCACTTT